GAATGTTTGTTTATTTTTTGGCAGTTAGGTTTGCATGAGGAGAGATGGAAGGAGTTTTACAGCTGCAGCAAATTAAGGTGGATTTAATGGTAAGGCACCTGATAATTTGTTAGTCATAGTAGCAGTGGTAGTTATTAGAGGGTTGCTGCAGTCTGCAAATTCTGCTTCACATTGGGCTGAACTAGATGGAAAAGGTCTGACAGTGAAATGAATCTTCCACATGTTGGGAAACTTAATTTCTGAGAGTGACACAAGACAATTTTTACCAATTTCAATTTCATGAAAAAACAGCCTGTCTCTGCCCAGAATGAAAAAACACACCTGCCACCAGCTCCTCAGAAAGTCTCAGAGAAAAATATTTGTTTAATTAAACGGTTGTTGTCCATGAAATGGTTCTAAAGCTCTATCATATGTCCTTTTACATGAGTCTATGTACGGCTTTAGAGGCCTGGCTTCATGCTAAGCTAGGCTAACCACTTACCCATGTCTTGAAAATATAATGAATACACACATTTGTAAGCACTTTATATTTTTCAGTTAATTTTCTGGACATCAGTTCTTCTACAAAATGTCCTAAAAATTTAGCTGTATATTACTACACAGTTCTACTCATTAGGGACATGGAGAAAGTTTTAGTCATTACTGTTACTTTGAATCTGCTCACTGCATTTGAGTTATTAAGAAAAGCTACAAAATGATCTGGTTGGTACCATAAAAGTAGTTCATTAACCCGTATCCATCAGATTCGCCAGCAGGGACCAACTATAATTCTTCAGTCTTGATGAGATAGAAAATGAACCAGAGTGACTCAATTAATTTTATTTTAGCTGGAAATGAGGCTGAAATATGATTGTAAGCTAATGCTGAGTCGGTGAAGTTGTAGAGCTTGATGCTGAGTCATACTACTGGTGTGACGCTAACCAGCTCATTCTGAATGTGAAGCAGTGGATGATTATTCACAACAGTCCCATTAATCCGGTGTGTCCTATAAGTATCTGGGAGTCCATATTGATTACATGCTCACCTTGTTGATGGCCTGTGCCTCAGGCTACAGCGGAGGATGAGAAGGCTAAGAATACACGGGGTCAAGTGATAGCTCAGGTTTCTGTTCTACCAGACAGTCTGATCAGGAACGGTATGTGGGCGCTGTGTGGTAACCTCTCAGTGCAATCGAAACTCAGGCTCACCCACCTTGTTAAGAAGGTCATAGGGAAAAATGAGCATCAATCCTTTCAATCTCTAAAAAGTGTTAAGAGCTCAGAGGAGCCCAGAGAATATCGCCTGACTCACCCCATGTC